ACAGGGTAGAGCATTTACTGGTTAATCTTTCCTGGGAGTTGCTAGTCTTAACTTTGTTCAATGTTTTGTAAAATTCAAAATCAGGCTCATTATACTAAGAGCAGAATTCAAACCTATTTACCATCTCATAATCGCTACCTCTCCTGCTATAAAATCTAGGTCTGGGTTTAATTTGAGAAGACAAAATTAGTCCTTTTTAAGAAGCTATCATCAAAGATCAATGACCATCAAATACTTTACTAGGGGAGGAAAAAGAGAAAGAGGCCAAATTTCAAGTCAGTGAGATTGGAGTTCTTAAAGCTGGTGGAATTTTTTTTAAGTCATTCACAAATACTRTATCTACCCTTGACAGGTCATTTCATTCTATTTAACACTTTTTATTCTCTGTGGTTTATAAGCTCTTAAGCAAATGTAAGAGGGAGGAAAAGCTAACGCGCCTGATAATACACTGTATCAGGCTGACAACCTAACTGAATTTCCCCTGTGGTGCTAGCAAAACGCTGCTCCAAAAAGTAATAATGCACAAGGAAAAAAAACAAAAAAAGAGAAAAAAGGGAAGAAGAAAAAGGGGGGAAGGGGATCATAGAGATCATGCCGTCACATTTAATTTCAGAGAACAAAACGTGAAGCTGATTTCTCTTTAGATCAGTTGTATACCAGTTGGAACATGGGTGCCTAGCACTGCGACAGAGTAATATGATCTGAGCTTTAAATAGCTGCCAAACAACCATGTGGTGGCTGGCAGCATTAAACGTGTTGCAATGAGAGTGATCTGTTTCAAAGTAAAACCACATAACAGAGGATAAGTCAATCTGATGTGGGATAGAAGTGGAGGGGGGGAACGTTTTTCATTATCTTTCTGGATTTCTTTCTGTTTTAAATGTGTTTTATTCTTAAAGAAGCATTAATTTAAGGCTTTTTCCCTAATTCTTGGATCATATGCAGTTTAATTCTTGAACCATATGCAGGTCGTTTCAGAGAATGTCTCCTTGGGGTATCCAGGGCACAGGCTATGGAAGAGTGATGAGCAGTACCATTGCCGAGATCATCTCCTTCCTACAACCCAGGTCAAAGGGGCTGCCTATCAATGTGAAAGGCACATTCTGCATGTGTGTGTACTCCCCTGAGTTTCTACAAAAAGCATCCTTGGCATTTCTTAGGCTCAGATTAGCTACAGATAGGCTCAGGTGTTTCACCTACAATAAATAACCAAGTATGACTTTCCTATGGTACCACTGCTCCACTTCAGGCAGAGAGCAATGTGAAGCCTGGCAGCGTGAGACACATTTGGGCTCTTACAGATGCAGGGAGAAATGAAGTGCAAAGTCTGAGGGTGTCTAACACAGGAGATCCTACTAGACCTCCATTTCRTTGTACCTCCATGCTAGATCTGCTAATCTGCTGATCACTATTATCATCATGTCTCCTGGGAGGAACAGCAGTATTTTGTATTGGTTAGACAGACCAGTTTAAACGGGAAACATGAATGAGACACATGAAGTGAAAAGTGGTACTGAAAATACTTGAGATTCTTCATCTCTTCTGACACTTCCGATTACAAATGACTGSCTTCTGTTTTCAATTTCAGTGTCTCTGTTGTCTACAACAAGGCAGTCCTGATGTGCTCTAAGCTAACACAGCAGAATTTCCTGTGAATATATTTTATCTAGTCTTCACTGCTTGGGAATCACACTGACCAATATACAAGCAGAAACAGGAAAGCGAGAGGAAAACCAAGCTGATCCATTAGAAGGTAAATAGCTCCTGCAAGAGGTTCAGCTTGACTTCTTAAGACATAGTTAAGTGCAGGACAGTTATGATTTTGCAAGCATGTGGACAGCAGTACAGATATTACTTACTGCTCTCCTATTAGCAGTTTACTAGCACATTATAGTTGCAGTAGCGAGACTCCCTGCAGAGAAATAGAGCAAGCTTTATTTTGCATTTCCCCAAAGGAGAATATTGCTTTACCTCACTAATGCAAACCTTAATAAGCAACCACATATTTCATGAAGAGCAGACCCAGAGAGAATTCCAGCAGCCACCCCAGTGAGTAACAAGGATTAACTGAGGGCAAATCCTCTTCTGCCTGGTTTTGTCTGCAGCTGCTTTCACCACATTGTGTTAGTGGATCCCCCTGGAATCCACAACAGCTGCACAAGGGGGAATGCTCATCGTCCTTTCTTTYCCTCTTTTCCTCCCTTTCTCACTGCCTCCTTCACAGGCAGTCACAGTCCGCAACACACCTGCAAGTTCATCTTTGTGTAGGTGGCTGAACTGGTCAGATGTTTATTATCTATCCACACCTTTCACGATCACTTTTCTGGACACATTATGCAAAAAATCTCTGATTTTACCACAGATTTTTGAGCCAACAGGCAATTAAAAAAGAAAACTAAAATCCCAATACATTTGCAAGGAACATAGTTCTATGACCAATTTCACAGAATATTTTGATTACAGAATTGAATCCCCTTTACAACCTCTTACTCACCTCTAAACATGAAAATACTTGCACCACCACCAAGGATCAGAGCAAGTTTCCTTAGCTGGTCTGTCTTCCTGGAGATCTTACAAAGCCCTTCTTTTGTACTTAGTTATTAAATGAAATCAAGGATCAAGAGTAAGACTATGTTCTTAGGTAATATTTGTATGGAAAAGCTTCCTCACCACCACCAAACCCATATCCTGATCTAAAACAGCTATGTGATCTGCTTGACTGCATTTGTGTATTGGAGTGTGAAAGCAACCTGTCCACCCTCTTTTCAGAAGGAACRTGACTCTCAGCTCTGCCACTAGAAGGTGGTGCTATCCAATTAAAGTAAACTGATGGAACTACAGAATATTGTCGAAAATGTGAAGTTGTGTGAAAACTTTATGAGTACTTAAGCAATTCCTACTGATGACAGAAAAGGCTTCCTGAAGTTTCGAAGGAAACCCTCAGAAACACCTTCGATCTTCCATGGCCATTGCGCCTGCAGCCTGACCCAAACAGTTCCCTCAGAGAGAGGCTGCGTTGYACATAAGAGTGTAGCTAATTTAGCTGCATAATGGAAAGAGCTCTGAAGATGCACATGGGCTGAATTAAGGGCTCCACGGGAGCCTTTGGCTCATTCCTTGCAGGGTTTATTAGATGCTGCTGCACACATGGTTAGGTTTGCTGGAGGAAGTCCAGCTCTGAGGCACCTCTCAGTTTCTACAGCTTCTAAAAGTTGCAAGAAAGTGACTGCAGTTCTTATGGAGAAGGAGTCTCCCCTGCAGAGAAGCAGACAGGGTTCAGGAGGGGTTCTTAGTCAAATAGCTCTTGATTATTGCATTTACCTCTGCAATTGCCAGTGAGTATCCTAGGCTGTAAAGGGGGTAAATACCAACAGATTGTAGTGTTTGAGAAACAGTATGTGATTGTGTAATTAAGGGCAGGAATATAATACCATATGCACAAGGGCCAGGGTTAATTCCTGCATTTCCTGGCTAACCAAGCACATTACAGTGCAACCTTAATGTTCTCCGGATGGCTATCATTTATATGGAGTTCATATATGTTTATGAATATTTGGTTAAAATTCAGCCATCATACTCTCTGACACAGTAATTAAAAACACTATGTTAGCTGCCAATAAAAATATTTTTGTGATTTGGTAATTACTCCAAACCTCATAGTACCTACTSCTCTACCTCCTGCCCTTGTTGTCTTCCTGTTTTATAATGTATAAAGCTAATCTTGATGATGGAAAAATACATAAGCAGCAGGGAATGCTGGAAATCTTCCAATCACAAAAGTTCCCGAAATGGAAGCAATAGCCAATCTAGCCCACCACATCTTCTAGGTGGGCACTGCTTTCYTGCCTCTTAGTGATTCTTTTCATATTCATAACAGCTGTGGAATTAAGCATTATACAAAAGAAGAAACCAATGTGTAGTCTTTATTTTYCTCCATCCACCCCCAACTACTCTGCTTTGAGTTACAATGTGGAAAACTACACACTATCACATGGATTTAATTTCAGCTTGGGCTCAATGCCAAATGACCAAGTTGCCCATTGTTAATACCCCACCCCAATGCTTCCATACCATGCAAAACAGTCACATCTTCACCCCATTTTCCATACATACGCACACACACGAGCCAATGCTGCAATACAGTATCCAATCTTTCTCCTCCTGATGCCTTACCTAGTTTCATTAGTTTCTTTGGGATGACCAGCAGACAAGCAGGATTTGGTCTAAAATGCAGATTTTTAATACTTAGGAAAATGAGGTCTACATAAAACATACATTTTCATGATCTGGATATTGCTTGCACAATAAACCTTTTTTAATAAAAACAACATTTTACATTTTCTCCCCTTCTATTTAAATCTACACAACCAAGAAAATATGTATTGGATGAGCCAATTATTCCATCCAAACGATAAGTATTAAAACTTGATTAAAATATGAGCACTATARTTCAAAGAACAATTTTGGCATAACTTTAGCTAGTGGTTTAACTATGGCATTTTGACTTACAGAATCATGCAACCAACAAACACAGATTTCAGACTATAAAAGTATACATCTTTCACATGTATACAGAAAAGCGTGTAATAGAAGCAGTTAGGCTTTTACATGTACTGACTAGCACCAAATTGCTCTGCACTGAAACTGTCTTTCTCTTCTTCACATGGATGCTGCACGAACAACTGCACTCTATTTTTAAGTGCAGACATGTTTGCTTGTATTAAAGCTACAGCAAGTAGTGGAAACAGGAGAGGAGATGGATCAAATTACTGTGTTTGAATGTGTTTTTTTCATTTCCATCTTGTACTACCATCCTCAAGCAGCAGTACAAGACAAATACTAAAAAATCAAATGTATCAATTCTTTATTTGACCCACTTTTTATGTTGGGCTTTTGGTTGCAGAATATTTTTTCACTTCTTCTGCTTGCAAAATTATCTAATGCTGCTAATAACACAACATGGAGAATCATGTGTCTATTTTCTAAAGAATTAAAAGCAACTATCTGGGGCTGAAGGTTGTTTCTCCCTGTATTGAGTTTTTGTGTCCTTTACCCTTAAACAAGTAACAGAAGTAATTCCAGAAGTGTGCCTGCATACTTAGGATTGCCATAATAATGTATAAAATTCCATTTTTAAATYGTCATGAAGTCTCACTAAGATGCCAGCATTCCCTTTAGCTATGTATGGCTAGTCTGAGTGCAAATAAATGGATCGCCCTATCAACAAGAAAAGCATTCCTGCTAATAAAGCAAAAAATACTCCTATAGGAGCAAGCATGAAAGACCAGCCGTACTGCACGTAAACAGCAAAGTCCGGGCACTCTATCTTTTTCACATGTGTGTAGTTTTCCAGATCAGCCATGGCCTGGACCCAGATGACATACATCACGACTACCAGAGAAAAGAAGATGCCTGGAAAAGAAAAAAGAGGTTTTAACAGCAGAGTGTGAGACAAACGCAGGGAGCATATACTGGTTACAGTAATACCTAGGAATACCACCAGTGCTGGAAGCCCTGTGTGCAAGGCTCCCCAGCTGCCACTGGATATTTTTTTKGGGCCTTTACTTTCTCTCTAATAAGATCTCCTTACCTTGTTTCTGATTTACACTGAAAGACATAAGCCAATATCCTTTAAGGAATCCTCCCAAAAATGACATTATCTATTTCTGATGGGCTGTCCTTAGGTACCTATTTACTGTTCTGGATATACTGGGGTGTGGTGGAGGGGAAGGGACCATGTAGGAAAAAAAACCTACTTTTTCCTCCCCCAAAATAGAACTGTTTCTATCATAATCTTATAGATGGGGTAAAGAGTGGGGAATCTTTTGAAAATCTTTCTGTCATCCTCACTTCCCTACCTTAGGCTTTCCTTATTCTAATGCAAAGGGCTTTGTTTAGTACCTACTACATTCTGATTCTGCTCAAATATTTTGAAGACAAATTCAGATGTATTTCATTCAAAATCTTCTATATTCTTTATGAAAGAAGATCATAGCAACAAAACCCAGCAATAATGAAACAACAGCTATAAAGCAGGCTTTTGGTATTAACCTCAGATTGGGCACAGCCATTTCCTGGAATTAATCCACCACATAATTCACGATGTTTTCCCAACCACTCCTTGGAAAGACCTCTGGATTGTTTGCGCATGATAGTAACAGGAGTACTTGTCCTTACCAACTCTGTTAATCTCTTTGTCACTATACACCAGAAGCAAATCTAAGGAGAAAGAGCCTTCCAAAGTATCAGCTGCTTGCCTAATATTTCATTTTACTTCAGAGGAATGTGGACACTTAAGAAACGCAGGCCTGCAGCACAGATGCACTCGCAGAAGATCCACTGGAAAACTGGGGACAGAAGCCTGAATTTTCCACATGCTCCAGCCTGAACCCACTTGTTCCCTGAGCTCCAGCTGTCACAGCACAGTTACAGCAGCTGGGCTAAGTATTTAGATATTAAAATATTGAGGAGATACCAGCCCATTTTGCTTTCATCCTATGATGCTTACGTTGCTACAACAAGAAGCCAGCGTATATTTCTGGGAATCCTTATTTAGCTGAGCTGACTGGCTGTAAAGCAGTAGAGCACAACTCAGAGATGTTTAAATTCTCTACCCCAATCTTGCTAAATTCAAACTCTGTGACCTTGCAAAAAAATATAACACTTGGGCAAAATCCTCCAGTGTCCTTTGTAAGCACCTGTGCATAGATATTTGCCTCCAGGCCCACCTGTGCTGGAAAATGTGGTTTCCTCCTCCATCCCCGCTCTGAGCGCTCATCCTGCCTGCCATTCCTACCAGCTTCCCAGAGAGCAGCTCTTGTCTCTGCTCTGTCATCCACTTAAGGCAAAATCAACAAGATGAGCTGCAGCACTTCAAATTGGTGACTTGCTGATACTCTTTTGGGTCCTTCATTGTCAATATAAAATAGTTTTACGCTGTGGATATCACGAACAAGTGACAGGCAAGGGCACATGAGTCCTAATGTTTGTGAATACTACCTTTTGAAGCCCACCAAAAAATGAGCTGAAGTAGTTAACCTGAGGCATAATCAAAATGTGACTGAAAATCCCAAATCATCTGCAATTTTTATGCAGTTGAATGGTAGGACAATGACTAAAAGATTGAGGCAAGCATGCAGCATGTTTATGAAACACAACACCAGAATTACACTTTTTGCAAAGTTCATAACGTTTTGCTCAAATTCAGGATAAATTAAAAAGCAAAACAAAACAAAACCTTCAACTCTAAATAGTAGAAATTCAATTTTGTATTTTATCTAGGCAAAACTCAAAATTTCATTTTGATGGAATTTATTCCTGAGGTTGAAACATACAACTGGAGAAAGAGTCAGAGAGAAGGATGAGCACAGGGCCAGACATAAAAAAAATGATAAATTGAAGAATCTCCAAATACAAGTCAAGTCGAGCAGAAAAATCCTGCCATTAAACATTCAATGATAACAGATAATGTAAACAACTTAGGAAAAACAGAACCAGATTGAGCTGGTAGGTTCTCATGGGAGAAAAGGGAGAAAAATTCAAGGCCTTATTCATAAATGGAATTACTAGAGACATGAAGCTAGCTCTTCAAAAGTTCAACCAAAAAAAAAAATTAGGCTCATGTCACACCAAGACTTGGAAAGGTGCATAAATCATAAGGCAAAATCCATAGGAACTTTGGAAATTTTCCCTCTTCAGTTGCCTGTATCTGCATTTTCAGATGTTCATGATCTTGTATTTATATTCTCTACAAAAAAATATATATTCTCTACAAAGTAAGGCAACTTTAATTTAAAATAATAATAACATTTAAAACTAGCAATATACATTTCTTTATTATTGCAACAGATAAGCATAACCAGACCTTGCATATCTAAAGTGCTTTTGACCTCTGCCCCCTGGGAAGACGTAAGTTAAGTAACCCAGTTAGTTGTAATGTTCTACCATTAAAATAATGCTCTTCCAGAGGTCCTTTAAACTGAAAATCAGCACCCCTAGCTCTTCAAGTACTCTGGAGCAACAATTTCCAGGTAGTTAAAAAAGATGTAGCTTCACGTAGGCACAAAATAGCAAGCTGGTGCTGTGMGTGGTAAGACAACTTCAGTAAAGTTAGAGTCCATCAGGTGATTTCACAGCAAGCTGCTAATACCCGTGTGTGGTAAATTGTTTGGTACGGAAATTTGCTRAAGAAATGTATGTCAAGCAGAGATAAATGTCCTTCTTTAAGAGAAAAGGAAAAGAAAGGGAGAATATGCAAACCATCTTAGTTAATTAAGGCACTAGAAGAGTATTTAAGGGTTCTCACAGCTCCTATCTGGTAATGGAGGCTCATTAGTTACTATAGTGTTCAGTGTGTTTAAGAAATGCCTTGAACAGTAGAATGAATCAGCCTAAGAAAAAACTTAAGTTCCATTGCTTTCAACAGGATTTCAATGACCAGTGTGTTGTAACTGATAATTAAGTGCGTAACTTCCAAAGAGTTATGACTTCATGGAAGTTAGGCACCTATACGGGAGCTTATTGAGGCTCCTGCATGTCAAAATGGTAGCGTAAAGGAAAGGGAAGGAGGAAGCATTTCTGAACCGATAGGCTCTCTGCTTTGCCCTTTCAGTATCGTTTCCGAAGGTGCTAGATTACACTAGAAGCAGTGGTGGGAGCAGAGAGCAGATCATGTGCTTGTTTTATCACTAACACATCTGCTTAAAATGTTAGATGTTTAGGGCTTTGGTTCCTTTCTCTGCATTAARCACTTCAGGTGGGGTTTAACTTTAAGCACAGGTCTAAGTCTCTTTGACTTTAAGAGATTTTCCTCCTGGCATCCACACTGATTCCATCAAATATTTGATTCAAAGGCAAGTTGTGAGCTTAATAAATGGTTACATTAATCGGCTGTTAGATTAAAAAAGAAGAGTGTTTTTGTTTTCAGATGGGATAATTTCATGTCTSTTCATCTCATTTTAACAAAACACAGAGGTTAAAAAAAATGTTAAGGGTTCAAGCAAGGCCTGAGACAAGTAATAAGAATACAGTACATGTAGTTTTTCCAAGGGACTGAGTAGCATGCACAATTAGCTACATATAAATGAAGTATCTTTGTAGACCATAAGGTATTAACTGAGATTATATATAGTCACGTCAATACCAAATCTCCATTTTGTGGAAATTAAAACAAGGCATGGAAAAAAAACGAATCTGATATTTAAGGTTCTCTGTTTAGAGAGTCTGGTTTTCCGAGGAGTTTTGCTCCTCTTGAGTGGAGACAGCTTTGCTCGGTCACGTAACATACCCACAGCAGAGCTGCTAATAAACAGAAGTCCCTTCCCTCTCCAGCCAGTTACCTTGTGCACACAACTACACTCTTTCTGCCACATTCAACTTTTGTTATTTGTACCATTTGGTGAAGTACACTGGCCTACACATAAATAAATGATGACTGAAGACAGTGTAAAGTCTTCCTAAGCATTTGTGTATCTTTGGCTACTTTGGTGCTTTAATCTAGTTTCCATCACTGCAAAATCTGACTGTTCCGATTTATAAATAAGGAACACAGTATTTCTGAGGGAAAATCAAAGATAAAATGTTCAAAATTAGTCTGCTTCTTTATATTTCCTCASTCACAAGCTTTGGACTTAATCTGAAGATAGTTATACTACTAACTCTGAATCAATGGCAAAGCCCACGTAAAATCGAAGTGAGATCAGAATCAGCTCCTGTACTGCTGGAGAATATTTTTTATATATAAAGTTTACACTGCTTGTGGAAAATGGAAAATTTTCTATTTCTATTTCTAAGAAATTTTCTATTTCTATAGCTACATTTTTGTTAATTTGTCTTATTTCTCTACCCACAAATTGTCCTCACCAGCCTATCTCTTTYCTACAAAATATTAGTAATGCCAATAAGAATTGGGAAAGCATCCATTACAAGCATAAAAGTAATACTTGATCATTATAAAGGAGGATAAAACCAAAATGCATAGATACTTTGAGAAACGGTTCCTGCACTCTCAAACTGACTATCCATTGTGAATGTCATGAACTTTTCTAGCCAAGCTCTCAGGCACAATTACTAAGACTGAAAAAATCTTCACAACTTCACAAAGCAGATATTTTTAGAAACAGTTTGTACTGTGATATATTTCTACATTTTCAGCATTTAGACCTTTTGCATAGTGTGCGCRTGTCCGTTTGCCCTTGCCTTTTAGTGAATATAAAATAAAACAGCAGTTGCATGAATCAGGAATGATGGGGAAATTATTCCTAGAACATGAAATATGTCTGAGAGAGATTAAGACAATAAATACTTTCCTCCTCCTCTTTTTCTTGTTCGTTTTTTTTTCCATTTTGCATTTTTTTTAAGAACACACATGTTTGATACACAGCTCTGTGCAGTGTGATAAGGCATGGATTTCT